GCTTGCCAGGCAGGCGCTTTTGCCGCTGAGCTAAATCCCCAGCCCCAATTTAAAAGTTCTTGCCAAGTCACAGAACTAAATGAAATTGTAGAAAGAATTAAGTTCATTTTAAAAGCCCCAAAGTAAATGAAATGTTTTCTAGCTAAACAGAACAGGTCACACAATCAAACACTTACTATCTATTACTTGTTCCTTTTAAGAGTACTCAGTCAAACACACATCCCGGGGTTTTTCGTTCTCAGTTTCTTTCTCACATTCCTCTTTTTCACTTTCCTTTTTGGGTTTGGGGTTTTGCCCAGTGTCTGCACACCCACTGGGACTGGGTGGACCTTCAAGTGAATCCTCCCAATCCTTGCTCTTCCCATGAGCCTCGGACTCCCATGTCCACTTTTTTGCTAGATACTTCTGCCTAAAGATACCATAAGCGAAGTCTCAGTGTGTTCAACCCTGAGCTGCTCACTTTTCCTAAAATCTGTTCCTCTCAATAAGCAGCACCACACTTGCTTAACCAAAAGTCTGCTCATCATCCCACATTTTGCCAATCATTTTCAAGTTATACTGCTGTCTACTTATGGCACTTTCGAAGTCTATATGCTCAACTCACCCTTATTAACTGTATCCAAACCCAAGTTACTATCTCTCAATATGACCAACGCAGTGGTCTAACTCATCTGTGCACCACTACTCTTTTGGTCTTTTTTTTTTTTTTAAGTTTTTTTTCTTTTTTGGTACCAGTAATGAAACCCCAGGACCTCACACATACAAGGTAGATGCTGTGCCACTGAGCTACATCCCTGGCATTACTACTTTTAACCCATCTCAAACTTACTATACTGCAATTATGATTTGTGTCTAGATGTCCCCTCAAAGCCTCATGCAATCATAGGGATTTTTCAGAGGTGGCTGAATCTAGAATGCATGATTGATTCATAGTGCAATGCTGGGATTAGGGTGGGTGACTGCTGGATCAGTCCACTGATTGGATTGGCTCCACCCTAATCCCAGCAGACCGGATACAATATAACAGAGAGAAAGAGGCTTGTCCCACTTTCCTTGCTTGCTTTTGCTGTCTTCTGCTTGCCATGAACTTGGTTCTCCTCTGTCAAGCCACTCTGCCTTGGAAGCAGCTGATTATGGGCTGCAACTTCTACAAACTGTGAGCTAAATAAACTTTTCCCCTGTTAACTTTGGGTGTTGGATATTTTATCTCAGCAATGAGAGAAAAGTAACTAAGAAAACTGCTGCCAAAATGATTGGTTTAAAATAACAATTTTGCATATTAAACACTACCACATGCCAAACCCTTCAATGGCAACTTACCACTCATAGAATACAGTCCAAATTCACTTAAAAACTAAATGTCCACATATGACATACAAACTCCTCAGTGGCCTGGCTCAAGCTTATCTCTTTAGCTTTATTTCCTATCTTCTGCTTCATCACACCAGAGCAACACTGAACTATGTCATTCCCAGACTTGACCAGCCATTCTCTCTGTCAGTCTATCCTTATGCCTTTTTCACAAGGGGAAATGCTTACTTGTTCTTGAAGTGACAGGTCCAAGACTGTCTAGAAACCCTGACCAGAGCATATTTCCCTACCACACCAAGCTCACTCATTATAAGCACCTAGAAGATGCTCATTAAACAGAATAAATATAATACTAAGTAAACTAATGAGAAAGCAGCATGTAATTTACATAGGCAAAGCCAGAGAGGAAATAAACAAATATATTCAGAGGAGGCTGCAGAGACATCTGCATGACAAGGCTTGGAGGGATACTAAAAATCAAACTCACAAATGTAGCTATCCTTAAAAGAGACTGAGACACCACAATCCAAGACCTTCAAATACTTATCTCTGAAATTATATGGCACAGTTGCAATTTAGAATCTATGCTATATTTCCATCAGAAATGTTTCAGAAAAGAGATATTGTCATTTTTTGGTCACTCCTATGCATTCTTGCAGGTTTAAGAAGGTATCCCCAGTTAATCTGCACTTATTGAAGAACTTTACATAATAATCTCAAATTACAACATATTTCTATATTGCGTAATTAATTCAAACTGGAATAAGGTAGCACATCCTTTTAGTAACATTAAGGGCTAGTTGTTATGGTTTGAATCTGTGTGTCCCCCCAAAGCCTCAAGTGGCCAGGCTTGAGAGGCAGGCTATTACAGATTGAATATGGGTGTGAGAGCTGCACCCGCCCAGGAGTAGATAGTTTGCATATGTAAGGGAGAGGAAAAGAGTGCTTGGGACATTCCTCCCCGATTCCGCCCTGGTGTGTGCTTGCAGTTTAGCTGTGTTCTGCCGTCCTGACCTGCAGCTCTTTGCCATGTGCCACTCTACCTTATAATCTGCCAAGTACGGAATGAAACTTCCACGAACTGTAAGCGGAAATAAACCTTTCCTTCCTTAATTTTGGGCATCAAGTATTTTGTGCCAGCAGCGAGAAAAAAGTAACCAAGACACTAGTCAATCTTACAAAGTAAGCTTAATATTATAAAATTAGGTTGCTACAAATCAGCAGCAAGAAGGAAAACTACCATAAGCTAAATGTTCAATTTACAAAGGAGTTCAACTGCAAATATTTTGTTTTCTGAACTTAGTACAATGAAAGATATCAGTCCTTAAACTTAAATAAATGAGCCATACTACAGAGAAATAGATCTATGAGGTATTTCCATATGAAGAATGAAAACTAAGACCACCTACCAAAAATAAGAAGAGGAAACAAATGCTATTGTAATACTTTTTGTTTGCTTGCTTGCTTGCTTGCTTTTGAGACAGGGTCTTGTCATGCCATACAGGCCAGCCTCACACTCTAAACCTACCTGCAACAGGGGAACTTCAGGCATGCACCAGGCACTGCCCTTAGCTTATAGCCACTCTTGATGACACAAATATTGTCAAAAGACAGAAAGACAGAAAGCATTTATGGTAGCTAGGGACAATGGCTCATGCTTGTACTCCCAGCACACTGGGAGACTGAGGCTGGAAGATCACAAGATCCAGCTCAGCCTGGACAACTTAGTGAGACCTTGTTTCAAAATAAAGCGGGGGAGGGCAGTGGCTGGGACTATAGCTCAGTTTGAGGTCCCTGGGTTCAAGTTTCAGTACTGAGGGAGGGGAGGAGCATGCATTTCACTGAAATACCTTAGAAGGCCATAGCATCAGTCAAAAGAGGATTAAATCAAAATGATATGCTAGACAAACAACTCAGCCATCCTAAATTGAGGCATCTCTACATATAAGTGTATCAGTTTTGTGCTAAGTATTTAACTGTATAGCTGTATAAGATAATACCAAACACACATCTTCTATACCAAGGAGGAAAGGTGACAGAAAACTGGTATGTGCTAATAAGCACAGGCTCACATTGGAGTACAAAAGTCATTGCATGGGGTTTTACATCTTCTTGTCCTTTACACTGTAAATGCCAGCTCCCTACTTTCAGGTGTGGAGAAAGTAAAAGGTAAGATACAAACTTGAATGCTAATTTTCAACATAACATTGATGCTATGTCAGAAAGTATGAGTAATTCTCATTCTTACATAATACCTGTCATTTTAAAACACCCCTGCTGATATGAACTAATATTTGTGAATGAGGGTAAAAAATTCCTTTCAGTTGTTGCAGTCAAGCAAATTGACAGATACAAGTACATATAT